GCACTGGATAGCTGGTCAATCACAGCACACCTCGCTTTTTCAGACCAATGAGCTTTGTAAAAATTGACGCGTTTCAGAAAGGCGGGGCATAGAGGAGAAACAATAATGTACAGTATGTGGAAAATAATGTGTTTTTTTAACCTTAAACCGCATAAACACATTTCATTACACCAAATACACAAAATAATGTTCTTTTTAGCAGCATCGTATTACCCCTTTAAACTTATTTTTACAAGTATTCTTTTGTTGTTGCTGCTGTTGTTTTGAGCCTATAGAAAAGGTGATCTTTCTTTAGAATAAATGTTTGTATAAAAAGCTTGAAAAGAACCCAACCAAGAACGTATCACATAATCCAACCCAAATCTATGTTCCAAAGTTTAACTTGACCGTAACCATGAAAAGAGAGAGAGAGAGAGAGAGAGAGAGAGAGAGAGAGAACAAACCTTTTTAGGCTTCTTAAGTGTTTGGTTATGTCCTTTTGACTTTTCATAGAAACTAAATAAAAGTAACCAAAAATAGTATCCAAAGGTGTTTTCTTACATTTAAAGGGTATTACTGTAATGTGCTGTTTTAAAAAATTGGTATGGTATTAATGTTTAAGTGAATTTCAGTTTTACAAAACATAATTTACAGTAATGATATCTTGTAGAATTATTCGGCGTTCGAGTGTCCTTAAGTTAGTGAACCAATACCATCTGCTGGTCAACATTAGGCACTGCTGATGATACTATAGTTACACTAAACATACAGTCCGCTTACTCCTGTCACTGTGTATTTTATTATATTGTTATATAGATTAATGTTATATTAAATATTAGATTTGTCAATGTAAAAATATTTCAAATTACACCCCATATTATTAACTACTCTCTCTCTATCATTAAGCCCTTCCAATAGGCCAAAATTCACTTCATATCAGAACACAAAAAGACCAGGAATGCAAGTAGAATATAATAAACTTTGTTTACACAGAGGCATAAAAAAAAACATTCCTTACAATTTTTCCATTTCACAAACATTCCAGACAATCACATTTGACAATAAACAAGTTATACTATAAATATAAAAAGATGTGCACTTTTGAGAGGTGGGAAAAAATTTAAAATAAAAAATAAAAACAGACAGACACAACAAGTAAACACAAAAGAAAAGATCTTAAAGAAAAAATGCTTGGGAATAAACAAATGGATGACCAGTTCAACAAAAATTTCTGCTAAACCTGTTACTATGAATCCTCTTCTTTTGGTCCATTGATACACCCCAAATGTCATAATGAAATCCATCTAAATTCTGTGAGTTCCAAAAGTCATCTATTAGTCACATCACTGCCAGCTATTGACACACTGTCCTCTACTCTGATATACTGAACTCTATCAATGTGCAGTTTGGCCAAGTGATGTCCTCAGTGTGTTCAATCTCGCTACAACAATGAGAAAACAAGGAGCAGCTCAAGAAATAAATTATAGGCATCTTGTTAAAAAGGCACTCGCTCAAGTCTTTTACGCATCTCACAAAGTACATTCTCTTTAAAGTAGTTTTAAACTGTCTGAGAAAAACAGGAAAGTTGATGAAAATGATGTGAAGTACATACAGTACGTTTCTTTTGGTTTATAGATAACTGACGGCGGAATTAAATGTATGTGAAACAGATTTGCATTGTAAACACTTGAAAGAAACATCAAAGAGAGGACTATAAATAATCTAAAATCTACATGGCTTTTCAATAGCGAATAGCTTAAAGTCAATGTATTAAAAGTATTAAAACATATTGTGTTGACTTTAAGATATCAAAACCATCCACTGCACTGGATGCAGTTTTTTAATGATATTATTGGCCTTTTTGTACCACAACAAACACTGACTCCATGTGAGCCATTGCTCACTCTCTCTATATAAATATATATTCTTTCACATTCTTATGTACGATTTCTCATTTGTTCAGTAAGCAGCAGGATGTCTGCATACACCTGTGGTTCTTGTAAACTTGAAGAAAGATCGAAAGAATCATACGGCAAAGTGTGTATCAAAATGTACCATTATGTTTAGAAGCTAAAATAGGTTGCACTATTATAGCTCACTTGCATCTGGATTGTGAGTTAAAAATTACGAAAGCACTGTGTATTCCCAAAAAGAAGCAGAACAGATGGAGGGCAGGTCAGATAATCTTTTTGTGTTTTCAGAGGCCAGCTGAATGTGTCCTTTATGTAGTTCTTAAAAACCATCTCTCTGAAAAAGATAAAAAGCCACTGTTTCATTCCAGTGATATTCCACTCCTTTCTGGTCCTTTTAATAATCTTTTCTTTTATAAACTTTTCTTTCAGCCAGCAGGCAGATCCGTCATATGCTATCAAAATACATTAAACGGGTTGTGTTAAAAGAGCAACTATTGTTGCGTCCGATTGTGTTTTACACCATGGCGATGGTGTCGTCGGGGTACATCAACAGAATTTTCTGCCAATCTCTTCTGATGACTGCGAAAAACTCTGTATGTCTGATACCTTGCATAGGACCTTTGGAAGTTGGAGGCTGGAAAGAAAATACAAGCACATTAAATTAAATTAATATATTTGTATAACTGTAATGTATAAAAATATATCATATATGCACACTACTGTTTTAAAGTTTGGAATCAGTACTTTTTTTTTCTCACACAAAACGTTAAGCAGCTCAACAGTTTTTAACATGGATGATAATACGCATCTTGAGCACCAAATCAGCATATTAGAATGATTTCTGAAGGATCATGTGACACTGAAGACTTGAGTTACTCGGCTTTGCCATCACAGGAAAAAATAACATTTCAAAATATATTAAAACCAAAAACATTTATTTTAAATTGCAATAATATTTCATAATATTACTGTTTTTACTGTATTGTACTGCATATGTACTGCCTTGGTGAACATAAGAGACATTTTTAAAAATTTTACCAACCCAAACCTTTGAATAGTAGTGTATATATATACTCAAGCCAGAGTATATAAAATGATCATTCAAGCTCTACAGGGATGGTTGTTGTAAAAAAGTGTTGTTGTGATAGATTTTCACAGAATACTTACGACTCATGCAGGAAATCCTGGGCAAGTCCCATGAGCCGTCTCCTCTGCAGCGAATGGTGGGAACATGTCTCTGGATGAAGCCGTCCGTGCACTGGTACCTGATCAGGGAGTTGATCTCATAGTGTGGGCGCAGCTGGCCAAATGTGCGGGCGTTAAGGACAAGAGGAGGCTGACTGCAGGACACTGTTGAAAACGGCACATAATAGGGTAGCCATCAGTAATGGAGGACTGAATCTGAAATGTTATTTTAAAATTTTAGCTGCTTTAAACCACTGGAGACAAATCCAAAAAAACTGCTCTCTTCTTGTCTATAAACAACCAAAGACGTCATCCAAATTTTCACAGAGTCCCTATTATACAACATTTTTATTTCAAAACCACTGATGGAATTTAGACTGAATATAAATGTCTGCCTATGCATGCCCTATTATTTTAGAAATGCCCCTCATCCAGGTGCTAAAAGTTCACCTGTGCCTTTCTTGCAGGTGAAGGTGAGGTGGTAGTTGCAGGGAACATCATTCCACTGGCCGTCCTCATGCCAGATCATTACCACACAATCCTCCCCTGAGGAAAAGAAACTGTCTGGCTGGTTCGGTCTCCAGTTTTCATATTGCTGCAGGAGAGGAATATGGATAGAGATGAAAAAGTTAATGTGAGCGAGACAATTATACTATAGAAATACATTTCAGAAATATTATAGTAATTACATTATGATACACTTTGAGTTATGACCATGTGTTTTTGGAGTGTTTAAAAGAAATTGCATTCAACACACCTGCACAACTTAAAATACAACCTGGCTCAAAACAGGAATATACTGTTTGTGCTGTATATATTCTTTTACATCCATATGTATGAATTCTTATTTTTTCCGTATGCAGCAGGATGCATGCATACACACCTGTGGTTCTTGAATATTTATAGCAGTTGCACTATTATAGCTCATCTATATTCAGATCCACATTTCCCCAAAAATCCTTTACCTAATTTGGTGTTCCCGGTTGAAAACGATAACTTAAAAAATGCTTGTAAATCTCTCATTATGTTATATTATCACCAAATCTTGTATTCTTTTTTGTTTGTTTGATTTGTCAACTTGTTTTATTTCAATTAGCACATGATTTGCATTTCTTCTTGGACCTTGCAACTCGGTTTTTGAGTGAAATAGCATTATTTGTGGATAGTTTTGGCAATGTTCACTCAAAAACTAAGGTGCATACACTCAGATCGACGAGGCCTATGGTAACAAAGAAAACAAGTTGATAAGAAGTTTAAATCCACGATTTGGTAATAATGTAGCATAACGAGAAATGTAAAGCAATTTTTTATAGGCCAGTCATTTTTGACCAGTAGCACCACAAATGTAACAAGGTGGGGGAAATCCCCAAAAGTACAAAAATTATTATTTGAAGGGGGGAAAAAAATTTTTTGGGTGGGGGAGAAAATCCTTTCTAGTTCAAAATGACAGAATTATGGCATAAGGCGTTAAATTAAAAATGAATATTTGTGATATACAGTGTGAAAGCAATCAAAAGCTTTCAAGCAGAGTATGACTGTCTTTGTATGGAGCACATAAGAAAGGCAATAAAATGATAATGATAATGATACAGACACACTCCAGTAGGGGGCGCTAAGTACACACATCACCACTAAACTGCAATAAGCAGCTGCAGTGAGTGGTATAATGCATTTAGAAGATAGTAGTTATAGTTGTAGTTATAGTAATACATCTATATTCAACCATCATGGACAAACTTTATTCAGTGTATTTCCTCCCTTCATACACATCCGTCATCTCTCTCAGCTGTGGGTGAATGCACTAAGAGGAGAGTAGCAATTGAAAAGACCAACCTATAAAGAAAGTATCTAATAAAGCCTGCAAAGACAAACACAGTGCACCGTTTACAGTGGACTTGAGCTGATATATTTAAACAGATTTAAAGTGTTTTGAGGTACTATTCCAGATACTGTTTATACTGCAACTACACAACAGACTCTTAGTCTGCTGAGATTAAATTGTACAGTATATTGTTTTAATATGAATTTAAAATGTATATTGGCACTCTTCCATATCTATTTTTTTTATCCTAAATTAAAACTGTGAAGTTTGCACATATATTAAACATTACGTAATTATACCCAACCGAGACAGGTTGGAGCTCTGGTCTTTCAGCAACCCTTTCAATACTACACCAATCACCCAACAAGTCCTGTTATTATCCTCTTACAAAAGGAATGTGCGCTTCCAGCACACCTCGCTTTTCAGACCAATGAGCTTTGTAAAAATTGACGCGTTTCAGAAAGGCGGGGCATAGAGGAGAAACAATAATGTACAGTATGTGGAAAATAATGTGTTTTTTTAACCTTAAACCGCATAAACACATTTCATTACACCAAATACACAAAATAATGTTCTTTTTAGCAGCATCGTATTACCCCTTTAAACTTATTTTTACAAGTATTCTTTTGTTGTTGCTGCTGTTGTTTTGAGCCTATAGAAAAGGTGATCTTTCTTTAGAATAAATGTTTGTATAAAAAGCTTGAAAAGAACCCAACCAAGAACGTATCACATAATCCAACCCAAATCTATGTTCCAAAGTTTAACTTGACCGTAACCATGAAAAGAGAGAGAGAGAGAGAGAGAGAGAGAGAGAGAGAGAACAAACCTTTTTAGGCTTCTTAAGTGTTTGGTTATGTCCTTTTGACTTTTCATAGAAACTAAATAAAAGTAACCAAAAATAGTATCCAAAGGTGTTTTCTTACATTTAAAGGGTATTACTGTAATGTGCTGTTTTAAAAAATTGGTATGGTATTAATGTTTAAGTGAATTTCAGTTTTACAAAACATAATTTACAGTAATGATATCTTGTAGAATTATTCGGCGTTCGAGTGTCCTTAAGTTAGTGAACCAATACCATCTGCTGGTCAACATTAGGCACTGCTGATGATACTATAGTTACACTAAACATACAGTCCGCTTACTCCTGTCACTGTGTATTTTATTATATTGTTATATAGATTAATGTTATATTAAATATTAGATTTGTCAATGTAAAAATATTTCAAATTACACCCCATATTATTAACTACTCTCTCTCTATCATTAAGCCCTTCCAATAGGCCAAAATTCACTTCATATCAGAACACAAAAAGACCAGGAATGCAAGTAGAATATAATAAACTTTGTTTACACAGAAGGCATAAAAAAAAACATTCCTTACAATTTTTCCATTTCACAAACATTCCAGAAAATCACATTTGACAATAAACAAGTTATACTATAAATATAAAAAGATGTGCACTTTTGAGAGGTGGGAAAAAATTTAAAATAAAAAAATAATAAAAACAGACACAACAAGTAAACACAAAAGAAAAGATCTTAAAGAAAAAATGCTTGGGAATAAACAAATGGATGACCAGTTCAACAAAAATTTCTGCTAAACCTGTTACTATGAATCCTCTTCTTTTGGTCCATTGATACACCCCAAATGTCATAATGAAATCCATCTAAATTCTGTGAGTTCCAAAAGTCATCTATTAGTCACATCACTGCCAGCTATTGACACACTGTCCTCTACTCTGATATACTGAACTCTATCAATGTGCAGTTTGGCCAAGTGATGTCCTCAGTGTGTTCAATCTCGCTACAACAATGAGAAAACAAGGAGCAGCTCAAGAAATAAATTATAGGCATCTTGTTAAAAAGGCACTCGCTCAAGTCTTTTACGCATCTCACAAAGTACATTCTCTTTAAAGTAGTTTTAAACTGTCTGAGAAAAACAGGAAAGTTGATGAAAATGATGTGAAGTACATACAGTACGTTTCTTTTGGTTTATAGATAACTGACGGCGGAATTAAATGTATGTGAAACAGATTTGCATTGTAAACACTTGAAAGAAACATCAAAGAGAGGACTATAAATAATCTAAAATCTACATGGCTTTTCAATAGCGAATAGCTTAAAGTCAATGTATTAAAAGTATTAAAACATATTGTGTTGACTTTAAGATATCAAAACCATCCACTGCACTGGATGCAGTTTTTTAATGATATTATTGGCCTTTTTGTACCACAACAAACACTGACTCCATGTGAGCCATTGCTCACTCTCTCTATATAAATATATATTCTTTCACATTCTTATGTACGATTTCTCATTTGTTCAGTAAGCAGCAGGATGTCTGCATACACCTGTGGTTCTTGTAAACTTGAAGAAAGATCGAAAGAATCATACGGCAAAGTGTGTATCAAAATGTACCATTATGTTTAGAAGCTAAAATAGGTTGCACTATTATAGCTCACTTGCATCTGGATTGTGAGTTAAAAATTACGAAAGCACTGTGTATTCCCAAAAAGAAGCAGAACAGATGGAGGGCAGGTCAGATAATCTTTTTGTGTTTTCAGAGGCCAGCTGAATGTGTCCTTTATGTAGTTCTTAAAAACCATCTCTCTGAAAAAGATAAAAAGCCACTGTTTCATTCCAGTGATATTCCACTCCTTTCTGGTCCTTTTAATAATCTTTTCTTTTATAAACTTTTCTTTCAGCCAGCAGGCAGATCCGTCATATGCTATCAAAATACATTAAACGGGTTGTGTTAAAAGAGCAACTATTGTTGCGTCCGATTGTGTTTTACACCATGGCGATGGTGTCGTCGGGGTACATCAACAGAATTTTCTGCCAATCTCTTCTGATGACTGCGAAAAACTCTGTATGTCTGATACCTTGCATAGGACCTTTGGAAGTTGGAGGCTGGAAAGAAAATACAAGCACATTAAATTAAATTAATATATTTGTATAACTGTAATGTATAAAAATATATCATATATGCACACTACTGTTTTAAAGTTTGGAATCAGTACTTTTTTTTTCTCACACAAAACGTTAAGCAGCTCAACAGTTTTTAACATGGATGATAATACGCATCTTGAGCACCAAATCAGCATATTAGAATGATTTCTGAAGGATCATGTGACACTGAAGACTTGAGTTACTCGGCTTTGCCATCACAGGAAAAAATAACATTTCAAAATATATTAAAACCAAAAACATTTATTTTAAATTGCAATAATATTTCATAATATTACTGTTTTTACTGTATTGTACTGCATATGTACTGCCTTGGTGAACATAAGAGACATTTTTAAAAATTTTACCAACCCAAACCTTTGAATAGTAGTGTATATATATACTCAAGCCAGAGTATATAAAATGATCATTCAAGCTCTACAGGGATGGTTGTTGTAAAAAAGTGTTGTTGTGATAGATTTTCACAGAATACTTACGACTCATGCAGGAAATCCTGGGCAAGTCCCATGAGCCGTCTCCTCTGCAGCGAATGGTGGGAACATGTCTCTGGATGAAGCCGTCCGTGCACTGGTACCTGATCAGGGAGTTGATCTCATAGTGTGGGCGCAGCTGGCCAAATGTGCGGGCGTTAAGGACAAGAGGAGGCTGACTGCAGGACACTGTTGAAAACGGCACATAATAGGGTAGCCATCAGTAATGGAGGACTGAATCTGAAATGTTATTTTAAAATTTTAGCTGCTTTAAACCACTGGAGACAAATCCAAAAAAACTGCTCTCTTCTTGTCTATAAACAACCAAAGACGTCATCCAAATTTTCACAGAGTCCCTATTATACAACATTTTTATTTCAAAACCACTGATGGAATTTAGACTGAATATAAATGTCTGCCTATGCATGCCCTATTATTTTAGAAATGCCCCTCATCCAGGTGCTAAAAGTTCACCTGTGCCTTTCTTGCAGGTGAAGGTGAGGTGGTAGTTGCAGGGAACATCATTCCACTGGCCGTCCTCATGCCAGATCATTACCACACAATCCTCCCCTGAGGAAAAGAAACTGTCTGGCTGGTTCGGTCTCCAGTTTTCATATTGCTGCAGGAGAGGAATATGGATAGAGATGAAAAAGTTAATGTGAGCGAGACAATTATACTATAGAAATACATTTCAGAAATATTATAGTAATTACATTATGATACACTTTGAGTTATGACCATGTGTTTTTGGAGTGTTTAAAAGAAATTGCATTCAACACACCTGCACAACTTAAAATACAACCTGGCTCAAAACAGGAATATACTGTTTGTGCTGTATATATTCTTTTACATCCATATGTATGAATTCTTATTTTTTCCGTATGCAGCAGGATGCATGCATACACACCTGTGGTTCTTGAATATTTATAGCAGTTGCACTATTATAGCTCATCTATATTCAGATCCACATTTCCCCAAAAATCCTTTACCTAATTTGGTGTTCCCGGTTGAAAACGATAACTTAAAAAATGCTTGTAAATCTCTCATTATGTTATATTATCACCAAATCTTGTATTCTTTTTTGTTTGTTTGATTTGTCAACTTGTTTTATTTCAATTAGCACATGATTTGCATTTCTTCTTGGACCTTGCAACTCGGTTTTTGAGTGAAATAGCATTATTTGTGGATAGTTTTGGCAATGTTCACTCAAAAACTAAGGTGCATACACTCAGATCGACGAGGCCTATGGTAACAAAGAAAACAAGTTGATAAGAAGTTTAAATCCACGATTTGGTAATAATGTAGCATAACGAGAAATGTAAAGCAATTTTTTATAGGCCAGTCATTTTTGACCAGTAGCACCACAAATGTAACAAGGTGGGGGAAATCCCCAAAAGTACAAAAATTATTATTTGAAGGGGGGAAAAAAATTTTTTGGGTGGGGGAGAAAATCCTTTCTAGTTCAAAATGACAGAATTATGGCATAAGGCGTTAAATTAAAAATGAATATTTGTGATATACAGTGTGAAAGCAATCAAAAGCTTTCAAGCAGAGTATGACTGTCTTTGTATGGAGCACATAAGAAAGGCAATAAAATGATAATGATAATGATACAGACACACTCCAGTAGGGGGCGCTAAGTACACACATCACCACTAAACTGCAATAAGCAGCTGCAGTGAGTGGTATAATGCATTTAGAAGATAGTAGTTATAGTTGTAGTTATAGTAATACATCTATATTCAACCATCATGGACAAACTTTATTCAGTGTATTTCCTCCCTTCATACACATCCGTCATCTCTCTCAGCTGTGGGTGAATGCACTAAGAGGAGAGTAGCAATTGAAAAGACCAACCTATAAAGAAAGTATCTAATAAAGCCTGCAAAGACAAACACAGTGCACCGTTTACAGTGGACTTGAGCTGATATATTTAAACAGATTTAAAGTGTTTTGAGGTACTATTCCAGATACTGTTTATACTGCAACTACACAACAGACTCTTAGTCTGCTGAGATTAAATTGTACAGTATATTGTTTTAATATGAATTTAAAATGTATATTGGCACTCTTCCATATCTATTTTTTTTATCCTAAATTAAAACTGTGAAGTTTGCACATATATTAAACATTACGTAATTATACCCAACCGAGACAGGTTGGAGCTCTGGTCTTTCAGCAACCCTTTCAATACTACACCAATCACCCAACAAGTCCTGTTATTATCCTCTTACAAAAGGAATGTGCGCTTCCTGCTTGAAAATTGACGTAATGCAATTTTTGGATAACGCCAATGGCACATACTTAAATACATTACCAAACATTAACTCTTAATATAGTAACTCTTCTGTATCCAGAATACAATAAGAGTGCTTGCAAACTCCAGAGGACATGTTTATAGCCCCTCACTGATGCCAACTGGACTGAACTGTCACACACTCACATTTTAGGTCTGGACTGTATCTAGTGTAGCCTGTTCCAGGTGCTGCTCATCCTTCACACCTCCATTACCTGTCCACACCTGTAAGCTTCCTCTACCCTTATTTATTTTGATCCTCCAGTCCTGAGAGGACTTCCACAGATGAAAACTCCTATCTCCTGCCCTCCAGGGCTTTTTGGCCCTTCCCCACAAAATGCTGCCGTTATCTTTGAAGTGAGATCCCAGTCAGGACTAAACGACTGTAATTAGCCACTTTCCTGTTCAATGGAGGAACACCTCTAGAACCAGGGAGATGGTTGCATGTCTCCTGTTTTACTTTTTTTTTTCACATTAACAAATCCTTTTTTTAATGATTGGTAAAAAATTACCAATATTATTTAAATCAATAGCTTTTTAAAGAAAAAAATCTGCAAGCATCATGGAAAATACAAGGAAACTTTATAAAGATTTCATCTACATTGTCCACTAATAAATGTGTGTATCAATACCATCTTTCTAAAACAGAATAAGAACATTTTGAAGACTGTTCTTACCACAACACTACCATCCGTCCACCGGAAATCATTCTCAAACATCTTATCATTCAGACCTATCCACTGGTAGTCATGGCCAAGGCCTACAAGAGGAGAGAGAAACAAAATTCACCAGCCATATTAGGAACTCTTTGTCAGTGGTTAAAAATAAAAGGCATTTTTGTTCTTATACATCACACTTCCTGCATCTAGGGCTGGAGCAGCATTTGGCCCCTTTGTTATTGGTGATAAACTAACCTTTCTTTAAAGGGGTCCTATTATGCTTTTTCACTTTTTGAATTTTACACTGTAATATGTCTTGCAATATCCGTGCGTGCAAAGGTTCTGCGCAATCCTCTTGTTCAATATTCTGTGGGTCTGAATCCGGCTCAAATTGATATGGAGCAGACGGAACTTGCTGCTTTGGCAAGGGGCGGGGCTGTACTGAAACACCGTCTAAGCTGTTCGCCAATCCCAACGCACTGGGACAGCTAACCAATCACATCACATTTCTTTTTTCGGAAGGCGGGCCTTCATCAAACCCAGAACTAATCGAGCCGTTTGTGCCAGACTGGGGAGAGAGGTGTTGTAATAATGTAAATTATGTAAAAAAATAATGCGTTTTTCGAACCACCAAGCATGAGAGCATGTTCTAGTACACCCCCAAAACAAATTCAAGACATTGTAAAAGAGCATAATAGGACCCCTTTAAACTCTAAAGTCCTCTTTGGCTAAAAATTCCTGAGCCAGTGGAATATTCCATAACTCTGATCACTTTTGTAGTGAGAAGTAAAACAAAAAACAAGCATCCTTCCTCATAAATAACTGTTAGTTTGCATGTAAATGTAATTGATTAGAGCTGATGATATTAGACAGAATGACCATAACTTGGTTTATGTATACTCACGGTTGATGTACTGCTGCTCCTCATGGGACAGGACACTAGCCAGGTGTGCCCCCTGGAGGCGACATTCACGCTCTGCTGTGTCCCAGTTACGCCGATGAGGAAAGAATTTGTAGCAGTGGCCCTGGAACTTGTGCCAGCCGTAGCTGCATGTTTCAGTGTCTGTAGAAAATCATGCGTGAGTTTTTGTTGATGCGCTACACATAAACTTGACATGTAGACACTGAAACTGAGATAATCCTGTTGCTGGAAGTGAAAAAAGGTGCTTGATATTGTCTACTGTCAATTTCTTTTTATTAGTCCTTTACCTGTGGGCTTACACTGTGAGGCTGTTATCAGTAAAATAAATCAAACCTTTTTTTTTTTTGTTCAGTGGCACTCTTTTCAAGTGAGAATGATTTCTCACTCACACTGGACCTGAGGGAATATGTTATAACTCCCTTTCATCCTCGTTTTAAATTACATGTCAGTTAAACGAGATCACTTAGAGCAAGAGCTACACCCTTGTGTCTATCATATCAGGAAGCCAATTCATTTTTGCATAAGAATGGCTACTGTGGCATGGTGAAGATTGGGTGCTTTGCTCTGAGGCATTGTTTAAGAAAGAGGCATTGGATCAAAGCAGACCTGTAAAACAGCCACTAACCATTTGGAAAAACTCATAGTTTTAAAGTAAGCATATTATGAACCCAGCAATTTATTAGTCTTGTTGACAAAGGATTTTAAAGTTCCTAGATCAGCATTTGATACTATGATCATATTAAATTTGCAAATAAAGTGTGTCCTATCAGTCACAGTAAGTATGTTTATGTGCACTGTTATAATCAAGCTAAAGCTGGTTTTTGAGCTACAGTCTCTGCTGGTAAAACTTCAGTCAGACTCACATGATATTTTAGAAAGACAAATTATTGTTTTAGTTCAGCTGAAAGCAAACTTTTAAAGTGCTTGTAAACGCACTTACTGAATGTTTGTGGATCAACCCAGGGCTGTTCAACATCAAGCTGAGAGCTTTGATTCCTTGTTTGAAATCACTGTGATTATGGCAGACTAATTGGTGGTGGTGGTGGTGGTG